AGTGGGTCTGGCCCACGAAAACTCATCACCTAATAAACCATCTTGTTAGTCTTTAAAGTTCTACATAGTCCTGTTTTTTGTTTCATGCAGAATCTGACTTTCTTATGAACACTTTCAGGTTTCAAAGCTCCATAATAGGACTGAGGCCCTCCTTTGACTTTGGGGATAAGGAAATACACATACTAAAATCCTCTGCTCCTGAATAACATCCTCTATTGCCCTTAACATAAGGAGTGATTGCACTTCCTGCCTGAGTTGCTGCTTGTGAGAAGGATCTCTGAAGCGGGATGGGAAAGGTGGGGAGCTTGGAGGGCAGAAAACTGGATTGACTATCCAATCTCTACTGTGCTCAGAACCCAGTGGTCCTTAGTAATATGGGGCCAGGCCTGGCATAAGTGGAATAGGTGTTTTCCAAAGTGCATGGGTGTGGGGGATCTTGGAGATAAAGTGATGCTCCATCCTCAGGTACACCATCAAAAGTTTTGTTTGGAGCCTAAGTAGTTTGGAGTGGCCCAACCTGAGTGATTGTTTCTGCCCTGCCTGCGGGAATGGTCCTGTCGAGGGAGACTGTTGAAAAAGCATGGCTTCCACTGAGGCACTGGTGTGTGAACTTAAGGGTCACCTATGAGTCTTTTAGACTGTGGCAACAGAATAGGGTTTCTAATGTCCCTACTCAGTATTGGGGAGCAATTAGAGGCATCCATACGATCCTGTGTACTGGTGTGACGGGGCGCGCCGCCCCCGCCCCCCATCCGGCGGCCCGCCCCGCACTCAGCCCGCAATCGCGCTGTCCCTCCTGGGCGCCACCCAGGGAGCGCGGCGGCACTGCGGGGCCTGCTCCCTTGCCGCGGCCCGGATAACGGGCGGCGCGGCGGAGGCGGGGGCGCCGCCCGGCCGCGTACGCCCGGACAGTAACGTGAGGCGGGGGCGGAGCCTCGGCGACGTGACGGCTGACGTCACCGGGCACAGGCGCACGGCGGGGGCGGAGCCTGGTGACGTGGCGCATTGCGTCACCCGGGCCGGACGCCGGCGGGGAATTCAAAAGGGGGAGGGAGCGGAAGGAAAAGGAGAGAGCACGGAGGAGCGAGGAGGGGAGGAGGGAGACGGAGAGCGAGTGGAGGAGGAAGGAGCGGACAAGGAGGAGAGAGCGGAGGCGGGAGAAAGAGCGGAGGAGGAGAGGAGAGGAGAACAGAGGAGGAAGGAGGCACAGGGCACTGGAGGAGAGGCACGCAGCACGAGGAGGAGGGAAGCGGAGGAGCACAAGTGGTGAGAGGGACGTTAAAAGGGGGGCAAGCAGACTCACGGCGGGGAGCAGGACGGGCTCCCGCGTTACAACTGGCAACAGCTCTGTGTCAATCTGCACTTTTCTTTGGGGAGGTAAGAGTCCTCACAAGACCTGCATCAGTCTCAACTGGTCTTACGTAACATTTTCCTTAGGACACTTGACAGGGAATGGTTGCTGTTTTTTCAGAGTTGCCTAGTCTAGAGCACGTAACAGCAGCACTCTGGAATCAGAGTGATCTTTGATTTGATGAGAGAGTTGATACAGAAATAAGCATCATATATACGGACAACTATAGAGGATAGCTCTCCACATTGACAGTGTTTAAACCCTGGTGTTTAAGCTACATTGACTTAAATATGGTCACTCTCCCTATCTTCCTCTCCAACCCTGCATCCCTTCCTACTCCCCTTCTCCAGGTCAGAATCCTCTCCTGCACCTATAACCCCCTCAAGGACCTTGCACCCCAAACCTCTGCCTCAGCTTACCATGCAAACCCTCTGCATCCTTCTCCCCACCACCTCACAACTCCCTCCCAGAACGTGCACCCATGTCTACATCCCTCCCTCCCCACCCCCTACACCATGCCAGAATCCTTTCCTGAACCCATATCCCCCTCCCACCCCCTGCACTCCATTATAGTTCCCTCAGCCCAAACTCCCCTGCAGACCCACAGTTTCCTGCACCTAGCCTCAATTCCAGACCCCGCACCCTTCTTCCCCTAACCTCCATCCAAGACCCCAGACTCCCTTCATAGAAAAATGCAGCCCTTGCCCACTTATCAAAAAGTGTCCCCCTCCCCAGTCAAAAATTTTCCATGAGGCACAGGAATGATCACCCTATGGGGTTGTAGGCAAAGGCTTCAGTTCCAATGCACTAGGCATGCACATTACTTACATGGAATTCCTACTCAAAGGAAGAAATATTTTTTCACACAATGTGTAATTCATCTGTGGAACTCATTGAAACAGGAAGTCTTTGAGGCCAAAAATTTAGAAAGACACAAAAACTGATTAAATGTATTTGATTGCCAATATATCCAGAATTATCAATTAATGACAAAAAACTTGCATTTCATAGTCTGAGCCAACCTCTCCTAAAGATCACCATCAGACCTATATGCTGGGAACAGATTATCCCACATATGTCTATTGCACGATTCTTACATTATCATCCTCTAAATTATCTGGTTCTGGCCACCACTAGAAATAGGATGTTGGACTAGATGGATTGCTGGCAAAATAAAAAATGGTTACCTACCTTTCATAATTATTGTTCTTCTGAGATTTGTTGTTCATTTCTACTCCATTCCATTCTAGGTCTGTCTGTTGGATTTTTTTTACTTTAGTGGTATTCGTAGGGCTGGCTTTGGCACTCTCTAGAATGCCGTGTTCATGAGCTGGTAAATGAGACCCTACACTCACTCAGTTCCTTCTTGCCATTAATTCAACCAAGGGGTAGGACGGGCAATAGAACAGACATAAGCAACATGTATCTCAAAGAACAAGTTACAAAATGTAAGTAACCATATTTTCTTCTTCAAGTGCTTACTCATATCGATTCCATTCAAGAGGATTCATAAGCAGTGAGGTGGGCTCAGAGATCACACCTACGTGGTTTGCAGTATTGCTCTACTGAAGCCAGCATTGACCCAAGCTTACTCAGTGACTGTGTAGTGTGATGCAAACATGTGAACAAACAACCAAATAGTGGCCCTATAGGTGTTTTGAATTGGCATCCAGGTGAGAAAGGCTGCCAACAAGGTTTGCACCCTGATTGACTGGACAGTTACAATTGCCAGCAGTGGTACTTTCACCTGATCATAGCAAAACTGGATGCATGTGATCATCCATGACTATATTTTTGGTTGGATCCGGGAAAGCCCTTCATTCTGTTTTCCACCATGACAAAGAGAGCTACATTGACTTAAATATAGTCATCAATGCTTTTAATGATCATTACGACAAACAAAACAAAAACAAATTTAAAAAACCCAAACACAACCAACCAAACAAAAAATCACTTAGAGCCAGACACCTAAGGGGACACATTATCCTAGCTGAGAGTCCTGCTCTCCCTTCTTACTCTCGAAAGATTGACATTTGAGGAGTCCTTACGCATTGGAGGTTCTTTAATCTGATAGTGTATCCCCCTTCTTTGGGACAAGTCTGATTTGGTTTGTTTGTTTGTTTTTTGGATTTCCATAATAATTAATTCCCACATTTAGCACTGACATTATTTGTGACTAAACACCACACATTAATAACAATGAGCAAAATATTCTATCAGCTGAATATCTAGTAAATCTAAGCAAAACAGGAGCTACTATATGTACATTAACTCACCCAAGGTCTCTTCCTAGCTAGCTGGCAGGGAAGCATTCAATCAGATCCTGCAGTATCCATAAAGGAGCACCTCTGGCAACCCCTGGAGTAATCATAGAATCCTAGGACTAGAAGGGACCTCAAGAGGTCATCGAGTCCAGTCCCCTGCCCCCATGGCAGGACCAAATACTCTCTAGACCATCCCTGATAGACCTTTATCTAACCTACTCTTAAATATCTCCAGAGATGGGGATTCCACAACCTCCCCGGGCAATTTATTCCAGTGTTTAATTACCATGATAGGAACTTTTTCCTAATGTCCAACCTAAACCTCCCTTGCTGCAGTTTAAGCTCATTGCTTCTTGTTCTATCCTCAGAGGCCAAGATGAACAAGTTTTCTCCCTCCTCCTTATGACACCCTTTTAGATATCTGAAAAATGCCTACATGGAGTTGTATAAGGGATGCCACACACTCCCACCGTGTTCCTTCTCGCTGGAAATTCTGACCAGGGGGAAGGAGGGTGAGTCATGGAATGGGTATGAGCAACACATATCGAAGAACACCAGGTATGGAAAGACTTTTACTAGTCTTTTCTAAAACTTAAGAAGTCAGAAGAGCAGCAAAGACTGCACTCTCTGGATATTAGGAGAGCCCTAGCCTTTTATACTGAAAGAACAAAGCCGTTTAGTAAGTCAATGCAACTCTGTCATAATGGCATACAGAATGAAGGGCTTTCCAGGATCCACCCCAAAATGTCATCATGGATGACCACATGCATTTATTGCTTCATTAGAGATGAAATCACTAGAGATGGGGCAGTGCTTTTGTTCAGCCTTCAAAATTACTAAGAGATGTCACAGCTGAGAGGTGGCTGGCAGAAGGTATTGACTGATAACCAGCAGGGTGGTGACAGAGATGCAAAAGTGTGGTTGTAGAAATTGATAATGGTGGAGGATAGAAGTCATCAACTTCAATAGAGCAGGAACAAGCTCTTACACACAAATAAATGGAAGAAAAAAATACTATCTTACAGTTTTTAGAAGATATGTTTTGAATAATGATGTATTAAAATAATTGTAAAATAACTCTAGAACAAACTTCTTGGAAAAGGAGGATAGCAGCCCCATTCCTTTAAGATGCTTACTTTTTGTCCAGTTAGTTTTGCAGGCTGTCTGTTAGCAGTCATGTACAATTGGACCTGCTTCAAAAAGTAGTTTTGCACCACAAATTAGGGGACAATATGAGGAGACATCATATATATGACAGTTTTTTGTAAACCCACTGAGTCACTTAGAGGAGTCGGGGAATAATGCAGACATTATGCGTGAGACACAAAATATTAATTCAACAAATACAAGTATGCTTAAATCATTTAAAAAACCACACATTTAAATAGCATTTACAAAATTTATTGACTTATAAAAATCTATCTGCATTTTTTGCAATAGTCAATTTAAGCAGTTGTCAGAATTTCCACATAATAGCTTTGCCAATAAAAACCTGTAGACTTTAAAAAAAAAAGATATTTACAAAACTTTCATGAAAAAATAAACCTTCAATATACCAAAATAAGCTAAACTAGATAAGAACATACAATTATATATAGGCAGATTCAGCAAAATAATACAACTTTCAAACTGTTCTAATGATCCAAGAAAGGCAGCACTAATTTGGCCCAGGAAGTTTTTTTGGTTGCTGTAGTTTTGCTAAAGCTCACCAGAGTTTCGAAAGCAAACATTTATGGCTGAATTATGCCGTTAAAAGAGGTATTTCTTCTACTTATAAAAACAGATAAACATATCACCACTACACTTAAATTCACTGAATGCTTTACAACTATAAAATCTAAGCGTTTCTCCATTTACATAAAAAAATTGCAAAATCAAATATTGATATTGCAACACTCACTCTACAACTATGACATTATTTTCTTGTTCTTGTACTTGCTCTTGTTTTCCTTTCTGTTCCTCCAACACTCTGAATGTTTAAACCACATTTATCAAGTTTTCTGTTACTTTTGTTCCTTGTTTCTTTCTGCAGAGTAATTCTTTCACCACACTCTGTAAACAAAAATATTAATTGTAAATTTGGATAAATAATTTTTTTTAGCTCAAACACATATCTTTAGCTTTGTTGTTTTAAAGAAAAATACCCATGAATACCCTAACAAAACAGCTATAAAAGCCACACTTCTGCACAACCAGCATCCTTTAAAATAGATCCCTGAAGACTCAGTTATTTCTGAAACTAGCTTAGCATCAATCAGTGCACTAAATCTAATTCTTTTTCTTATGTGGTATTTCCAATACTGGAGGTTTGCAACCAGGATAGTCCATTCTGTACAAACAGTCCTCAGATATGGTGGTTAATTACACAAAGAAGCCTGCAGAATGAGCAGTCATGAGCAATATGGGTACATCTACACTAGCCCCCTAGATCGATCTAGGGAGGCGAATGAGGGTGACCGGAATTGCAAGTCAAGCCTGGGATTTAAATATCCCGTGCTTGATTTGCATGTTCCTGGCCGGTTGCCATTTTAGAAATCGACTAGCCCGAAATAACTGCCCATGTCTAAACATGGCAGTGAAACGCGCTTCCAATTTAAAGCCCCTAATTTGAATTAGGTGGTATTCCTCCTGCAATGAGGTTTACCACCTAATTCGAATTTGGGGCTTTCGCGGGATATTTAAATACCAGGCTTGATTTGCAATTCCGGTCGCCCTCATTAGCCTCCCTAGATCGATCTAGGGGGCTAGTGTAGACATACCCGAGTCAACTGTATTAATAGGCCTATGGTAGAGTAGCAGACGACACTGCTATAAATCACCATAAATGTCCAAAGAGAATACTGTGACATGGTGAGTACAGGCCGCCATTCAATGAGTCTGCTGTGGTTTAAAATAACTGGGTGCGTTTGATTCTCGAGTATTGCGCAGGATTAGTCCCAAAGTTATACCATAAACAAAACCGGGTACTTTATTTTAGTGATTTTTCCCCATTCCTATATAAAAATAAGGATACCCAATACAAATATTAAAGCTAGGAAAATCCTGCATTTAGGATATACAACAGTGATTCTGAGTCCACAAAGAAGGTTACCTTCCGGAAGGTCAAGCTCTTCATTGAATTTAAAAAGAGACCAGACACCTGCATAGGAATCTAGAAAGCTGAGGAAATAGTAGCTGATCCCAGAAAAAAAGAGTTACCAGTGTCACCTAAGACAGTAGCTACCATCAAAAGATGCTTGTGGAAAGATGACCTCCAACAGAAAAACATTGTCCAGGGTAAACAATGAGAAAGGAATTAGGCACCTAGTGAAGCAGACCAGGCACCAAAGCAAGCATGTATAACAGGAGCATAGAGCAAGCAAGAAGACCAGAAGGCAGGAGTAAGGAATGATCAAAAGGGCAGACTTAAATGGCAAATGAAAAAATATATTAAAAAAACTTAAGACAATCTTTCTAAAAGCACATTAAAAGACTAAAATTATAATAAAAAAGTGCACCAAAAAGTCAAAAATAAAGTTTAAAGCTAGCAATTTAGGAGAAAGATTGGATGGCTAACAGGTAGCAATAGGCTTGAATCATACTTAGCCATCCAATCTTTCTCCTAAATTGCTAGCTTTAAACTTTATTTTTGACTTTTTGGTGCACTTTATTATTTGTAGTCTTTTGGTAAGCTTTTAGAAAGACTGTCTTTTTAAGTTTTTTTTAATATATATATTTTTATTTTTGTCTTTTTGGTCCTAAATCTAGTGTGTTTCAACTAATAAAAACTCCAAGGTGCGTTTTAAAATGCTTATATACTTTGAACTAGACTTTTTTCAAAATGTTTTTGGAAGGGCTTCTGGAAACTTCAATGTGACTGGAATTTGTATGGTGCTAGGTGTTGTAGAAACACAGAACAACCTATCATTCCAAATATAAGTGAGACAACAGATGAGCACAATTGATAAAAAGGGTGGGGAGTGAAGGCCGTGAACACAAAGAGCTGTCAGAGAACACCAACTGCCCAGCTATGGGAGCAGTACACATTATAGCACAAGGTTTTCAGAGGGGAGGCGGGGGGGAGTTGAAGAAGCTGTGGATGTTGATGGGGAGTTCATTTGATAGACAAAGGTGATGAGGAGCTCTTTGTTTGAATATTGGAAATGGGTGATCCAAACTGGCAGCAAGTCAGGACAAACATCTCCACAGCAGAGGTAAGGTGAAGGGCTTAGAAAATGAAATTGTTAGCTCTTGCCTTTAATTGAGTTTGCTGCCAAGAGCAGCATCTGCAGTGCTAGTGGCCTACTTGTTCTCTAGCTTATAGGGCTGCTTCGGGCAACAAAGGCTCTAGAAGAGTCTGCTGTCCCCTGCCATTCCCGGGAGTCAGATTCCTGGTGGACCCGGGAGTCCAATCTCCACAGTACCCCATGACGCCCAAGAAACAGGCACATGGCCTGACATTAATCCTTTGCCGAATGCCCCTTTCTCTTCCAGTGCTGGGGAGTCTCTTTCTTTTGTCACTTTTTAAGACAATGGGAAGGGGGAACAACAAGAGTGCACACCACATTGATGCTGAGCTGTTTGGCATGGGGTTCAAGTACGAGGACTCTGATGCAAGATAAAGTGCAGTCTCCATAAGGAAGGTCCTCAAGCAGATGTCCCATTCCTTTTGAGTGCCAGGGCAAAAGTTTTTACAAATTTGATTCTTGTCCCTTCCATGAGACTCCCCCCAGCACTTCAAGCATCTGTTGGGAGTGGAGGGGGTCACCAATATGCATCAACCCGCTGCCTAAGCATGGTTTGAAGAGAGAGAATAGGTCATGCCCCCCTTCAGGGCGAAGTCCTGAAGACAGATAGTGGCTTTAAAAAAATTGCTAATGCTCTTGAGAAACAAGGCACTCAAACGAACCATTATGGGTGGTAAAAAGGAACTGAGAAGGCATAGAACCAGCAGTGCCTAAAATACAGACATATGAGCATGGCACTATACGGGACTCCACAAATGGCTCTATAGATATCACTAAGGTAAGCCTCCAACAGTTGTGCATGTGGGTGTACATAAACGTAGAATGAAATCAACACAAGCAAGCTCCCTGAAAAGTATGTGCAGAGGAAGAAGGGACTATACAGAAGAGAGGGATGAAAAGGAAATAGTAAGTGGGGAAGCTTAAATGAAAGTGAAAAGACAGTTATCTTTTAAAATTGATAACCTATCACATTGAAAACAGTTACTATCTAAATATTTTTCTAATATTACCGTTTCATATAAACAACTGAAATTCCTGCAGAGATGTACAATTGCAAATAGATAGAGGGGAAGGAGATTTGCATTAAAAAAATGAAGACTTTTCAATTAAACAGGAAAGTATGTGTGCAACACTTTTAAAAAGAGTGATGTATTTGGGGCCTACAATAATTTTACTTTTATTCACAACATTAAGTTATGTGCAAAATCAGAATGAAGTACTGACTTATCTAAAACATGCAATAGTTTGAATTATAAAAATTAAAGAATTATATTAGATACTGAAATTAAATTGTCATACCTGCTTTTAGTTTTTTGGCTGTCTCTTCATCCTCTGGCAAGTGGCGTTTTCTCCTGAGAGAAGTGGAACTAGCTGCTTGAGATGTGAGCTCAACCTGTTTCCCTCTGCCCTTTCTTGATGGATTAGCTTTTGTCTCTAAAGTAGTGTTTGCCAAAGGCACATTTTGGTCTTCTTCAGAAGTCTTCTTTTTACTATCATTTTTTGGCATGCAACTTTTTCCCTCAATAGCAGTGGGACTAGCTGCCTGTGTTGTGAGATCGAGCTGTTTCCTTCCACCCTTTTTTGAAGCCTGGGAAGTAATATTTCCCAAAGGCATATTCTGGTTTTCTTTAGGAGTCTTCTCTTTTCCTTCTTTTTCTGGCAAGCTTTTTCCTTTGAGAGAAGTGCAACTAGCTGCCTGTGTTGTGAGACCAGCCTGTTTCCTTCTACCCTTGCTGAATGGATTAGCTTTTGTCTCAGTAGCATTTCTGAAAGACACATTTTCATCTTTCAGAGTCTTCTCTTTATCATTTTTTTCTGGCAAGCAGTTTTTTCCTCTGGGAGAAGTGCAACTAGTTGCTTGTGTTGTGAGATCAACTTGTTTCCTTCTACTCTTTCTTGATGGAGTAGCTTTGGCCTCAGCAGTATTTCCCAAAAATACATTTTGGTCTTCTTCAGGAATGTCCTCTTTACCATAATTTTCTGGTAAGCTGCTTTCTCCTCTCAGAGAAGTGCAACTAGTTGCTTGTGTTGTGAGATCAACCTGTTTCCTTCTGCCCTTTCTTGATGGATTAGCTTGTGTTTTGGTAATATTTTTGAAAGGCACATTTTGGTCTTCTGCAGGAACCTTCCCTTTATCATCATTTTCTGGCAAGCTGCTTTTTCCTCTGTGAGAAGTACAACTAGTTGCTTGTGTTGTGAGATCAACCTGTTTCCTTCGACTCTTTCTCGATGGAGTAGCTTTGATCTCGGCAGTATTTCCCAAAAGCACATTTTGGTCTTCTTCAGGAATGTCCTCTTTACCATCATTTTCTGGCAAGCTGCTTTTTCCTCTGAGAGATGTGGAACTAGCTCCTTGTGCTATGAGACCAACCTGCTTCCTTCTGCTGTTTCTTGATGGATTTGTTTTTTCCTGGGAGGCAGTACTTCCCAAAGACATGTTTTGATCTTTAGGAATCTCTTCTTTATCATCATTTTCTGGCAAGCTCCTTTTTCCTCTGAGAGAAGGGCAACTAGTTTCTTGTGTTGTAAGATCAACCTGTTTCCTTTGACTCTTTCTTGATTGAGTAGCTTTGGTCTTGGCAGTATTCCCCAAAAGCACATTTTGGTCATCTTCAGGAATTTCCTCTTTACCATTATTTTCTAGTAAGCGGCTTTTTCCTCTGAGAGATGTGGAACTAGCTCCTTGTGCTGTGAGATCAACCTGCTTCCTTCTGCTGTTCCTTGATAGATTTGCTTTTTCCTGGGAGGTAGTACTTCCCAAAGACATGTTTTGTTCTTTAGGAATCACTTCTTTATCATTTTCTGGCAAGCTGCTTTTTTCTCTGAGAGAAGTGCAACCAGTTGCTTGTGTTGTGAGAGCAACCTGTTTCCTTCGACTCTTTCTTGATGGAGTAGCTTTGGTCTCGGCAGTATTTCCCAAAAGCACATTTTGGTCTTCTTCAGGAATGTCCTCTTTACCATCATGTTCTGGTAAGCTGCTTTCTCCTCTCAGAGAAGCGCCTCTAGCTGTGAGAAAAACCTCATTCCTTTTGCCTCTTCTTGATAGCTTCTCTTTTGTATGCAAAACCATAGTTTCCAAAGGCACACTGTGATCTTTTGACACCTCTTCTTTACCACTATATTCCAGCAAGCTGCATTTTCCTCCAAAAAAAGTGGAACTAGTGGCCAGAACTTTATCATCAACCTGTTTCCTTCTTCCCCTTCTGACTGGATTCTCTTTTGTTGAGGAAACAGTATATTCTGAAGCTGCTGCTTTGTCTTTTTTAGGAGTCTCCTTTTTGGCATCAATTTCTAACAGGTTATATTTTTTTCTAAGAGACGTAGAACTAACTACCTGTGATGTAAGACTGACCTCTTTCTTTCTGCCCCTTCTTAAGAGATTTCCATTTGCTTGGAAAGGAATATTTTCTGAAGTCTTATTTTGGTCAAGTTCAAAATGAACTTTTTTTTCTCTGTCTCTTCTTAGAGTAGTTCCATGTGCTACTGTAGGAGTGTTTTCTAAAATCTCAATTTGTTTGGTTTCCAATGCTTCCTGTTTTCCTTCACCTTTCCTTATCCTCTTTCCACGTCTAAGAACAGTCCTCTCATCTTTAAGATCATATACCATTGTAGCAGTTGGACTGTT